TGAAGCCAAACTTCTCCTCGAGCACGAAGCTGTGGTAGTAGGAAAAGCCGAGGCCGGTGATCAGATCGATCCACCCCAACATGTACATGAACAAGAGCGACTGGGGAATTTCACCAGAGAAGCGGACGGGCGCATAGCGAGCGACGACGGTGCCGGCGGCGGCCCAGACGAGCGGGTATACATTGAAGTAGAGGACGGCGAGGGATTTGACCTGGTTGAAGAGAGCGGAGAAGAAGCTGAACTTGGCTTTGGCGCGGCCATATTCCTGTCTTCAAGTCAGCGCTGGTAAGCATGGCGGGGTTGCTACAATTGTGCGCGTACCTGGGATTTATCGAAGGTCTCCCTTTCAATTTCCTTATCGAGAGCCTTGGGGACGGTGGTGCGTTGGAGGACACGGTACTGGCGGAAGAGAAGCCAGTTCTCCAGGGCGAACTCTGCGAGCGAGAAGCCGACAACGAGGCGCTTCCATGGAAAGAGCGGCCGGTCGAGCCAGCGGCCCAGGCGCTGCATCATGTTAGTCATGGCAGCCTCTTTTTATTTGTGTGCGCACTAACCTGGAGGATTGCCTGGATCATGGCGGTGGTGGTGAATGTTGGTTGCAGGCAGACGCGCGAGGACAGATCAATGTTCAATGTTCCGCGTCAGCACTCCAGGGCTAGCGCCAGGCAAGGTTCAGCCACAGTACGTCACAGGGCTAGGTATTGTTCTTCCCTTTCAACCTATCTTTCTCTGCGCGCCCTCTCCCAGACCGAATGTATACCCCTTCTAGTCTTTCTTTCCATGATTTCGTGCCACGACGACACGCTATATCACTTGGTGACAGTCAGGACGGATGCACCCCAAGATGATACGCCTTCACGCGCACGCGTTTGCTCGACACGTTACTCTACAAGAAAATGCCACCTTAGCTCTGGCCTTGCTGTTTACGCCAGCAGGACCAAAATAACATGTGTGAACTGCGCTCGCTCAACGGGTCTGAACAGAGGAATGGATTCTACATCTATGACTTCAGTCATTCATCACTGTCAGGGAGACTGCAGAAGTAGACGTTCGAGGTGAGCCCCAACGCGCTTGCCTTCGCAGCTGCGCGGTGAAAGGAAGGCGCAAGGCGTGACTGAACGTAATTTCGTTACACTCTGAGCGAGCACCCAAACAAGCAACTGAACGACTAGACCTTCACTGCAACCAAATCCAGTCTCGTCCCCGTAGCGACACTAAACCCACGCGCGACTACCACGGTTCCGAACATAGTTCGGTATGAAGCGTCAGAGCAGCATCTTCCGCGCCAAGCGACTGTCGAAAGCCTTTACATCGACACTGACTAGCGTCTTCGAAAAGGCCGATTCGAGAAAAGGCACCACGACAACAGCGCATCATCTCCTCTCGCCGATAGCCGAACGACACTCAAAGGACAGCTCTAGGCCAGGAAGCGTACAGGAAGATTTCGACTCCGCGATCCCTGCGGAAGCACCCACCGAGTATTACATAATACAGGAGAACAAGTATCCTGCTCTGCGGGCCTTGCGGAGCGATGCAGAGATCGGGGACGGAATATGGAGATGCTGTCACTGTCGTCATGAGAACGTCGTTACGCACTACAAAGGCGCATTTCCTTTCAAACATCTGGTATGCAGTCGCTGCAACGAGATACTGTGTTCTCAGTGTCACTCATCCGAGATCCTATCACCTCTACCGTACGGTATGATTCAAGCACCACGGCCACGCCTCGATCGCGAAGTTCGTTATTTCCACATTTGCACTACCTGCGGACTGAGTCATCGCGCCGAGATGGAAGGTACGACCCTGGACTTTTACGGTGTCAAGTGTGCGGCTTGCGGGAGCACTTCATATGGTGACTGGCCACGCTACCATATCGGTAACAACGAGCCGTATAGAAGGGATCCGGATGCCAGTTTCGTCAAACTCATCGATGCAAGAGCCGATGATGCGACAAGGCTTACTTTTCGGTGGATCATTGCGAACGAGGATGCGCCATCATCGGGACTGAGTTGCAGGAATCCAGGATGATGTTCACGACTGGCTGGATATCATTGGAGGAGGCGATAATCCCATCACGTCAATGGCTGCCTTCGTGAGCTTTGATCTGAACCATTGCCATACGCATAAGACAGCGATACGTTGAGAGACATGCAAGTGATGTTTACTTTATCTACTGATACTGTCTCAAGTAAGTCGTCTTACTATCACCATCTCATATCTCATCGTGTACTTATAGAGAGTACTGATCCATCACATTTCCCGGTACTTCGTTATATATGTCAAATCCATCGTCTATATACTTACAGTGATGCGCAGCCGACCATAGTGATGATAGAGTGTAACAGCAGCACAACTATTTCTTTGTTGCATTGTTTCTTCCATGGCCGGGCATGCAGCCTACCAACAACCCGAATATTTACTCGCTTTCACAACAGCCCAAGATACAATGGGATTGAACCATTTCACAACGATTTCCATGCGGAGACTCTCATTAGAGAGAGTCGCAAAGGCTGTCAAAGCCGTCAACCCTTTCAGGCTTTCGAAGCGAAGCCCACATAGACATCTCAACAAGGATGTCCACTTCCAATACGACCGTACCGCAGACGGTGTCTGGGCCCCTAGCTGTGGCCACGACATGAAACTATACCATTTCGCAGGACCACATCCCTTCAAGTATGTTAAATGTCATTGCGAACGCATACTGTGTCCCGATGATCGTACCTCAGAGATCTTGACTCCGATACCTTCACTGGAGTTGGAGGTTTACGAGGAGCGTTTTGAAGGCCAGAGGAGGTCAAAGGAGAGCAGATACTGCCAATTATGTCGAGCATGCGGTCTCACACATCGTGCTAAAATCAGCAAAGGTCGCATTGAGTTTCCAACAATGCCATGCGTTTGCGGCCAGAGCTCTAGCGAAGAGCCAATGTACTTCTACATTGGCGATAACGCTGCGTATCAGAACGATGCCGATGCTGTCACGGTAGATGTCCGCCTCACGCAAAGACTAGAAGCATCCCAACGGTGTAAGAGTAAAAGGATTCCTCTCGCCGATTGGGTCCCTTCCTCTCCTGGCGAGATCGAGAAGTTTCGTCTAGTACTCGATAAGGGAAGACCAGCTCACGTCCAAGACGTTTCAAAGCCGGAGACCAAGCGTGATAAACGCCCCAAGCGACGAGCAGGTGGATATACAGCTTACGTGTTGAAGTCAGACCCAGGTTGGGATGTTCGCGCCGATGTCTCGTGGTTTCCAGATTGAGCTGACGGGGCGCATGATGCTAGATTCGTGCATCCGTTTTCTCGTCCACAGTCATCCTGCTATCGAGCAGCGTCTACTAATATACTCGTCGCTCACGTCTTCTCGATATTTAATGTTTGCAAGATATAAGACGGAAGCTATAGCTCTACACTGCGCGCCGGCCAGCATATCTAATATTCGTATATACACAGCTCCCTTATACATTGTCCACACAGACCTCAGAGTCAGGCGATACCCAATGCATGACTGCATCCCAAAAAGATCACTAGACACTGTGAAACACATGGCAAACAACGTCTATTGAAGGCTCGACGGAATCTATATAACCTCATCCGCCACTCCCATCCAGACCTCACAAAAGAGTCTAGAAATATCAAGCAGTAGGAACAGAAGGAAGAAAGATGACGAACCGCGAGCGATCCAGATCGTTGGGTGAAGGCGCATTCAAGATAGTGCGCAAACAACGGGGTTGGACAGGCAGTATATACCATGACGTTGTCCCGAAGTCGCCTGATAAACCCTACGAGCCTGTAGCCGGCTGGCGAAGACACAAGGAAGATGGCGTGTGGCTATGTTGTAAGGGCCACGCTGATAACGAAAACCTTGTAACACATCGTCAAGGCGCGTTCCCGTTCAATCGTCTGGAATGCACAAGGTGCGATCACATCTTCTGCCCGGAATGTTCCAGCTCGGCGGTCCTTACACGAGTTCAATCATCAGATCTGGTAGCGTTTCAAGAGCCCTCTTCAGCGACTGGTCGATTGGTCCCATATTGTCGACTATGCTGCGCGTGCGGGAGGACCCAGCGGGGTGTCGTGAAGAAGGGTCGTCTCGAATCTGCTATTTCTTGTCCGTGCGGTAAGGCTATCGTGTACGACGACGAACGCATAGACTTCTTCATCGGCTCGAATGAGAAGTATCAAGAAGATAAGGAAGGTGTCACTGTACAGTTGAGAATCGATCATCGCCTTGGCGCTCACCAACGTGTGAAAAGGGAACGGCGTGTAGAGTTTGATGAGAAGACTTCGCGGGGCCCTGTCCAGCCGCCAAAAGTCGCCGTCTCCAAAGAGACCCGCAAGGCACCTGATCAAGCGATGGACGCAGGCCCGCGTCAATCCACGAGAAAGGATGTACCAAAAAGGTCTCGTGGGGGACCTCAACTGACGGTGAATACCAAAGAGTGGCATGAACATCAGCCATGGCCTGAGAATACGAGGTTCAAACAACTCCCGGAGGGTGGGTTTGTTCTGGACGCAGATTTTGAGCACTCTGGTTTATCGCCATCAAGTATTGCCTGTAATTCGGAGACGTCTTTACTGCGGTAAGATGACTGGTATATCCTGCGCCCCAATTCTCATATATCCCTATCACCGTCAAGCATTCGCTGCGATTCGGATTACTCAGTAGAGCACTACAACGGCTTGTACATCTGGCGCCCTGGTTCGTCAGCCTAGTGTCTCTTTCGGCGAAATGCTTACTATTCGGGCTTGAGACAGTACTTATGTCAGACCTGTCTCTCTTCCTCTTGAAATCTAATGCAATTGATCTGATCTTCTTGAACCTCCGAGTGCTAGTTGTGAACTCGTAGTTCGTTTGTTGAGTTATTCGATAATGAAGTGTCGTCATATTTCTCGTTGTTTGTAGTCAGAGATTTCCGTCGCCATGGTGAAGGCAGAGGCAACAACAAGGCAAAGTCGCGCTGTAACCACCACCTCAGCTAACACTACCAACCGCACAGAAACCAATGCCCATGTCTAAGATACCGCGACAATTGTTGCTGCCCGGAGGCAAGCGAGTGATCGACGAACGATATGCCGAACATCGACACCGCTTGATTGGTATGCTGAGAGATTACCTGAGCGTTTTGAGAGCGAGCCCGGTATCCTCACCCGGGTTCCGTATTCATCGCGCCTCCCGCATTCTCCAGGGTTAGTTAGCCGTCACGAATAGCTCTTAAGATATCTTGCTAACTTATTACTAGTATGTAGCTCCCTTGCTATGCTTTGCCAACGCGGTGCTGAGACATCTTACTATTCGTGCTAACAGCTTAATAGCAGATCTTCTACGCCTACCGCGAAGTTACATGGAGCCGGTTCTGCGCCAAAATCTCCCTTCCAACATTCTATGACGGCCTCACCATCATCACAGACGACCCAAAGAAGCTCGGACGGAAAAACGGCTGGTTTGCAGACTTCCCTCAGCAGTACTTCGTTGGCAATCCTGAGGCCAAGAGCAAGGTGCTGGTGATTTCGCCGTGTTACGACATTGGCGTTCTGAAGAAGCTCATTGAGCAGCTGTTCGCAGGTAAGACCCAGGGATCACCTAGATCAGACGGCGAATGTTAACCAGTAGACAACCAGGCCTCGATGTAGACATCGACGAAGTCAAAGTCCGCCTCAAGACGCCCAAAGAAAAATCCATCACAGCCACGGACGAGCCTTTCGATTTCGAAAACCCAAACCCTACTGTGTACATCCACTGGTGCATGCGCGTCACCCACAGACCCACGGGAAAACAGACGTCGCTCGATATCTCCGGCGTACAGTACGGAATGATTCAGGGCGACATGCCTTGGCAGCCACACACCGACATCTTCGTCGACGAGGTCCAGGCCATCAAACCGCTGGGTACACTTGCAAAGTACGCAGATGAAGTGTCACAAACCAAGGGTACGGAAGGATTGCGATTCGAAGTTGCGGCCAGTGCAATGAAGGCGTGGCACGAGACTGTCGATGCGGCGATGGAGCGCAAAGGGCTGGCATGGGCGGATGTACTAGGCAAGGAGGAAGAAGCCTTCCAGCGACATACGAAGAAGATCTTGAGCGTGGGCACAAAGGCTATGCAGAAGTATGCTGCGGAGACGAAGCTGACGAAGAAGAGGCTTAAGGCGGAGAGGTATGAGCAGAGGCATGAAGATTGGTTGATGGGAGAGCTCAAGGAGCTGGAGAGGCTGTATTTGGAATAGAGTAGTGAGTGCGCTTCTGAGCTCTGTGGGTTGACGTGACCTCGGGAGAAGAGAAGTTGGGGTTGCACGAGCCCAGGGATCATATCGCAACATGCCAGTAGATGGTGGCAATGCGACTGATAGCTCGACCAAAGTTCATGACTACTGCGGTTAGCAAACAAATACTATCCCTCTTTATAATGTCTGTGTGTTGAAAGCGTTCCAGGTCCAGAAAAAGGGAAACTGTGTTCAGACGCACAATCACATGTTGTGCATGACTCGGGCGTGTGACGTACGGTTCCGGACCGGCTGCGCCACACTCCGGGTGGCAAACCACCCTCCCCTTAAGACATACCTCTCGTCTCCACACTCACCACCTCCAGCACTCAAACCATACACCTACAGACACATACACGTAAACCTCCAGACCGCAAACATGGACGAAGACCTCATCGCATTCGGCATCGTAATGCTGCTCTTCCTCTCCTTCCCCTTCCTCACGGTCCTCAGCATCACCGGCTGCGTCGCCTACTCGCGCACCAAGACCTGGGACAAGGCGCGCAACCAGCGTGCAGTCAGCCTCGAGTCCTCCAACGGAGAAACCAACCGCTTAGTCTCTGACAAGGCCGACGAAGAATCCGACTTCTACGACACCGACGACGAGGAGGAGCACACCAAGGCCAAGGCGGAAGAGGAGGCCGACAAGTACCTTACCTTCAACCAGAAGTTCCGCAAGGAGTTCAAGAAGGTCTGGTCGGGCAAGGGCAAGGGCGACATCCTGAAGCAGAAGGAGCGCGAGGAGCGCAGGAAGCTGGCCAAGGCGGTGGCAAGGGAGATGGACCGCAGGGAGAGGAGGAAGGCGAGGGCTGCTGCCAAGGCACAGTCTGAGGACTTGCCGGCATACACCAAGGCGTAGTAGAAGTACGTCGGTCCGATCTTATCACGGAGCAGCAACAAGTGCTGTGATGCGATAATGGAGACGGACACCTTTCTCTCTTGGCCCTTAAATTGATACCCCAAATTAAACATATTACCTTAGCATTTCTTCCACGACAGATTTAGTATCTGGCCGAACCCAGCATCCACCGAACTACCCTGCACGTAACCGTTTTTGTTCGACGTACCCGAATCCACCGTCGCAGAGAGACTAATCTGAATTCTCGCGTCCTTCTTCTGACACACCGACGCCTCTGTATCTGATATCTCACCGTTCTTGTGCAAAAGGAAGTCTTCCTCGAATGGCCCTGTTACAATCTTATGAATGTTGCCCTATCCTTCAAGTCAATACCTCTAACACCACTTTCAGTCGCCAAAACCACGTACCTTGCCCTTCATATCCACGCCATTCACATCAATCCACTTCCACCGGCTAACCAAACTAGCCTCAACACCCTTCTCAATATACACATAGCCTCGGAAATCGGCTGAGCTAACATCGAACGCCCACCCCGGCGAGTTCATGCCTATGTTCACTCTGCAGAAGGCGCGTGTCTTTGCAGTCCCTGCTTTTGGTCCGTCGGAAGCGGCGAAGTTGTCGAAGATGATGGTTAAGGCGGAGTTGTCGGAGGCGAGCATGACGCTGGCGTCGCCGGGCCTGCAGCCACTTCCATCGAGGTCGATGTCCAGGCTTGTTAGGGAGACGGCGCCTTTGGGTGGGAGGGCGGCTGCGGTGAGTGTGATGTAGAGAGTGAGTAGGAGCGCGAGGATGAGTGACGGCATGGTGTGTTGAGGCTACGGAGAGGAAGCCATTAGAGAAACCTGCACGTCTTATGCTTTTCTTCAACCATCCTTTTCCTGCCTAGGAGATCAAATACCGCCTTTTCTTGCCGTGATCGTGGCACTTCGACATCAATTCTTCGGTTGCGGCTGAAGGAGCCGTCAGGTCAATTCCCAATATGTAGTACCATGCTGCAATTGGCATTACACTTGCCTACATATAGGAGCTATATCTAACGAACCGCTAGGATCGCTGTCAGAACGGGTTAGGTCAGGGCTCAGCCTGGGTTTTAACGACCCGACAGTCTGTTCGAAAGTAAGGCAGGATTTAGCCTATGTGACACGCGCTTCCCACGATATAAGTCAACACGCATCGTATATTGCTTACGTTGCACGAACCGAAACGACAATTGCTGATCTCATAGACTGCTTTGAAAATCGATAGACTGGGCTGTATAGTTGTGTTGGGAAAGAAGCGCGAGGAGAATTTGTGCTTCACTCATTACCTATAGAAAATGACTTGAACGTCTGTCTTACAACGCTCTGAATACATGGATATCACTAAAATACTTCTTACAATTAAACAGCCTCAGTCCGCTGCACAGGCGCCTTCTCGTGGTGCTCACTCTCGTAATCGGCGTTCTTCGCATCTGCCTGCACAATGAACTCTTCGCGCTTCTCGAAGCCAAATAACTGATCCATCTGATCCATTCGCAGTCCTTTCGTGTCGTGGATGAAGAAGAAGGCGTAGATACTAGCGCAAATAAGCGCGGTGGCGAAGAAGACGTATACGCCCCATTCCATCGAGGTGTACATTTGCGGCAAGGCCTAGAACGAAATTAGTATATCTGTTACGTGCGACTGATAGATGCTTACCTTGGTGACTACCAGAGTCCATATCCATACAGATGCTGCTGCCCATGGCCCCGATATAGATCGCATAGATGCGGGGAAGATTTCGCTAGAGATGATCCAGGGAAGGCCGTTCGCACCAAATGACCAGGCAGCACCAAAGATCATGATCATGGCTGTTGCAGCTTTGCCACCGGCGACTGTAGACTCGGACATGGGCTCGCCCACTGTCGGCTTTCCAAGCGCGATGTAGACGGCGAGGTAGTACTGGCAGAAAGCACATATCAACGAAGAGATGATCCAAGGCCACTTCCGCCCAAACATGTCGATGAACCAGGTGAAGAAGATGATGGAACCTCCAGCTTTGATGATTCCGTAGATACCGGTCCAGAGAGTGACGTCGGACAATCCGATGGATGTAAAGATGGTTGGAGAGTAGTAGTTGATTGCCGCGGCACCACTCCAAGCTTGCCACATGAACATGAGGAATACCAAGAGGAATCTATTTCGCATTCCTGGCATGGCTCCTTCGCGTGCTGCGGCTTTGATCGTTGTGAGGAAGCTAGCGTGCGCCTCGCCATGTAGCAGTGCGGCACGCTCTTTCGCAATCTCGTTTCGCACGTATTGAACATCCTGGGCAATGTATGGGTGGTCTTCGGGTAGGTTACGGAAGTAGCTCCACGACTTCAAGGCCTCAGCCTCGCGACCGCGTTTCAGCAGCCAGGTAGGAGACTCCTTCAAAACCGGTATCATGAGAGCTAGCAGTCCGGCAGGGATGAGCTGAACAGCCATAGGCACTCTCCAAGCGATGGACTTTGATCGGTCCATATTGTGTACAATGCCGTAGTTGATCCAGAATCCGATGACGGCACCCGTTTGGTAGAAAGATTCGAAGAACCCAGTGAGGCGTCCACGAATAGCAGGAGGCGAGATCTCGGCGATGTAGATGGGCGACACAGCGGCTATTCCTCCTACACCCATGCCAGTGAAGAACCGCCCGGCGAGGACGAGACTCAATTGGTTCTTGGGGACTAAAGTGCACTATTAGTGTTGGCACAGACATCATATCAATAAAGATTGCTTACCAGTGCACATGATCGCGCCAACGATGAAGATGGCATCAGAGATAATGACTGTAGCACGGCGACCAAGGAGCTCAAGAAATGGGTACATAAGCAGCGCTCCTACGAGTCCTCCAGCCGAATATATGGAGGTGATGTTGCTGGTGATTTCGTTCTTGTTCGATGCATTGATGCCAAAGTCTCGTTGGAAGGACTCCTGGGCGATGGTGGTGCCGATAAAGGCAGAGTCGTAACCATAAGCCAAAACACCCATTGAGATGACGAGCGCGGCCATGTAGACCCTCCAGTTGTACTATAGACTACATTAGCACCTTATCATCTCACCATCGCTCAGCACAAGAACTTACAACTTCCGGAGGCGTTGGCCTGTCTTCGGGGGCGCGAGCAAAACCACCCATAATGACTATCCACCAGAACAAAAAATGTTCAAGCTACCGGACGGGTGTTGAAGCTGCAAAGTTCTGCAGTAGTCTTGATGCCGATCCCAAACCTGGGGCTCCCACGTTCTTATGAACCAAACGCGCTTCCCCACAAAACACCCAACCCATCCGGGACGGAGAACCAGGTTGCCACATCCGACCGCGACCTTCCCCAGTGGAGTCTCCAGAGATGGCGCACTCTTGTCGCGTGGGTTCGGTGGCGTGGTGTGGGATCTCGTGGGTCTAGTGCAGCCGACACGCGAAGCTGGCGATGCGAGCGTCGGCAGCCCAACGTCACCGTCGCGGTCGTAGCCGACGGCGAATCGCGCACCTTGAGAGCCGATGGAACATCCACACGTCTCCACGCCGAAGCGCGTCTTCTCGCATGCTCCATCGTACTACCGGAACGCGTCGCGCAGTCGTGGATGCCAAAATGCGGCGGTTTCGCTCTGCTCGTGGAATGTCGTCCACATTCAGTTCCCCTCTGTACCTGCTCATCTCTTGACATCCTCACAAAATGCCTTCCGCAAACGGCACCAACGGCACAACAACATACTCCTTCCCACCAGGAATCCATGTCCCCTCATTGACCTGGTTCAAGAATGACACCAAGCAAGAGATCGACTGGGATGTCCAAGAAAAGCATTTCGAGTTCTTGATTTCCAACGGCCTGCACGGCATCGTGATCGCAGGAACAAATGGCGAAGCAGCAACATTATCATCAGCTGAGAAGACGCAACTCGTCCAAACCGCTCGCAAGACGGCACAGCGCCTCGGTCGCGGAGACCTACCCATCACAATTGGAGGCGTAGCAGGCTGCACGCGCGACGCGATACAGCAGACCACCGAGGCAAAGGAAGCAGGCGCATCATACTACCTCGCACTGGTACCCTCCTACTTCCACTTCTCCATGAACCAAGATGCCATCGTAGCCTATTTCCAGGAGCTAGCC